TTGTTTTGTTTTTAGTTACTTTTTCAATAATCACTTTTGTTGTACATAAGTACCTCACAACCAATCAAAGCTAAATTTGAGTCTAAGAGTTGTTACTAACAATTGGTTCGATATCCTGTCAGTCCATGTTGATGTTACTATCAAATTTAACCGAATTAGATTCTGTTATTTACGGTCCAATTTTGGTCTTCTTAAATAAATTAAATAAAGTACGTATAGAAATAATTTTATTTACGGAAAAGTACTTAATAAATTTTATGAAAAAAGTATATACTACTGAATAAGGATGATGGAGGAAGACAAGAAAGAGGAATTTGGTGCTTGGTGTTTGTTTGTAAGCATTAAATGATAAAAGAAGAAGAAGTGAAAAACATTAAATAAGGAAGAGAATAAATATGGGAAGAAACGACACATCCTCTCCGACAAAGATTTTGGAAGCGTGTTAGAAAGAAAACTCAAACCTACTGAATCGGAAGGACCAATTTGACTGGACCAGATTAATATGGTTCGAATTACAGTATATTGTTTCATACAAACACTTGATTCATTTTTACTCCAGGGCTTTTTATAGACTGCTTGAAAACAAACGAAAAAGAGATTTAAGATTTAGTTGAAAAAAAGAGATTTAACATTTCGTGTAATTTTATATTGATTTGTCTCTGATAAAAGGAATTATAAAACATAAAAAATTCCCATTGTTTATGTTAGGATAAATGAACTCATTTAATTACCTATACTTATAAAAAAACATGTGAACTCCGGGATTTATGGGTCAAGATTATGTATTGTATTTTTTTAATCTCTACAGTAATTTTCATATATTAATAATTTTATTAAAAAAAACCCTATTAGTAAAACTTAAAAGTGTCCAATGGCCATAGTATATGTATCAAAATTGAAAAGGTAGATTTTATCTGCTAGATTATTCATGTATAGTAAGCAAATAAATGAACACTATGAGCCAATGAGTTCTTTATGCGCATCGATTTATCTAGGACAAACTACCCATATAATATACTTAAATACTTATCAAAAGATGTATAAATAAGTATATTGTGTTTTTCTGACTTGTATATTGTACTAGTATGTTTTACAAGTAGATGTAAGAATTTCTTGGAAATTGAAATCACTGGGAAACAGAATATTAGGGATCTCCAAACCCTAGGACATTGACTCCCTCGAGAAATTGGTCTTCTCCCTTGTTGGCAAGCAAAAAAAAAAAAAGTTGATGTAAAGAAAAACTCATTTATTTAGGACTTTTCTCCTTAATTTGTATTCTAACTCGTTTACGCTTAATATACAAGTTCTATTTGAATGCGTCATATGACACAATGCTCTCGTCATATTGTGTCTGAGTGGCAAACTCATTTTGCTCACATCTATTTTTTTTTGTCAACTTTTCATTACATTCGATATTTCTTTTTAAAAAATATATTTCCTCGATTTAAACTAGTGGTACATATATTTAGCTACATTTCATATGCCAGCAGCCAGCTTTTTATTGCCCTACTCTAACTGGGTTGAATAAAGAACGAACAATTGTTTATGTATACATAAAAATAAAGTAAATCCAAAGATATATAACCACGATAATACGTGCACATATTTAATTCGTTATTTATAGAAAATTTCTTAAACTAAAAGTTTTGTAAGCAAATAAATACATAGGCCAAAAGCTAAATTTAATGTATTAAATTATATAAAAAACACAACGTACATGATATGAATCCAACTAAATATGCAATGTATACATGAGATGATTTTATAGGAGAATGAAAATTTAACACATAATGAAAATTACACACATAGTGAAATTTTGACTATTTTTGATATAGAAAGTCGCCAATAAATTTCTAATTGCATTGATAAAAATTACAATTTTAGCTGCTTTTGGGATTATTCTATTATATATTCAATAAATCAATTACAATTTATAAAATAAATATAGTAATGTATAGTGAATTGTTCATATTTATAAATCTATTAGAAACATTAAAATAGTATTTTATGTTACGTTTTCATAAGTTTTTATTATCGATTTTAAAAGATAATTATTATTTGATTTTTTTCTGACTGCTTTTTTAAGAATACTTTTTAAAGCAAAATATGTTATATATAGAAAACCCACGTTGAGTTATTCCAAGATGAAATGATATCAAGACATATAAGTTCTTACGATCTTGCCTTAATAACCTTTTAACGAAAAATGAGAAACAAAAATAGTAACACTTTTAAGGAAAAATATTGAGAGCAATTTGATCAACCGATGTAATAAAGACGCATAACGACTTTGTGACTCGTTTTCACGTATTTGATTAGTTAAATACAGAGTTCGTTAAATGCATTTCCATTGTTACGAATACAGAAAACCTTACGTACGTAATACATTTCAGTACTTTTTACGTCAGCAAAAATATAATATTTCGTTGAAGAAACTTAAAAAGAATCTTTCCTGTCCTTAGTTTTTTCTGTTTATCTTTCTTTAAGTAGATGTGAATTATTATTGAAGATAAATAGTAGTTCGTTATACTACTCTGTAGTATATATGCACGCTTTTTAAAACTCATCACACCAATCGACGAAACCATTATATATTTGAGATGTTGTAGAAACACAGGTGCAAAGAATTAACTAATTTTACATTCACGCCGATGCCAGCTGGTAATAACAGTTTAACACGTTGCAGGTTATATATATAAAAAAAAAATATTATCTATCGTTTTATTTTCCTTTTAGTGTTTATTAGAATCAATTCTAATTTGTATTTCCTCAATGTTTTAAAAATCAGTTCTAACTAAAAAATACTAAAATTATCTCTCTTGTTGTTTTTGATATCAAATAGCAACGTGGTTTATAAAGGTACAAATGAAATATACAAGATGCGGTGATTTTTCTGGTAAATATGTTTGTCAAATTTCATTGTAAATATTTTAGGAGAAACTAATGTTAGCTCGGCTTAAACCGTACAAATTCAAACCCTACTATTGGCCTGGAATAATGATTGCGTGTTTGGAACTAATTAATTAATCTAAATCGAAACAATCTTACTAAATGAAAATAAAACCAATAAGTTTCAAGAATGATTAAAGATGGGAGAAAAGGATACATAATTAAATTTACATTCGAGGAAAAAGGCGGATGCATAGACTATAGATGCAAGACACTTGTGATATACCCAAAGCATTATTTAGTAATATATATTTGAAAATTATATACACCGTATATAAAATATTCGAATCATCCTTTTTCCTTGATTTAAAAAATAATTTTTGCTTGTTTTTCTCAACTCATGTATTGATTTAAATAATAAAAGTAGCTACCACCTTTCTCTGCCCCACTTTAAGATAAAGCTAAAGCATGGAAAAAAAGCATGGGAAGAAAGTGAATATATGATATTGAATAAAATAAAATATATATAAAGAAAAGAAAATTAAAGGAACATAAAAGAGAGATAGGAAAAAGACAAAATTAAAAAACTTGAAAAATAATTAATATCACAAGTTAACAAAACATAAGTGTTTTTTTTAAAGGAGATCAAATATGAGTTAGTTTTGAGTTTTCTTTTTCTTTCTCTTTCTCTTCTCCAAGAAAACTAAAACTACTTAAGCTAAAGAATCAACACTTCTCAAAGTTTCTCCAAAACCCTTGATTAGTAAACACATAAAGAGATCAAGAGAGAGAGAGAGAGAGACAGACAGAGAGAGCAGAGAGAGGAGAGAGAGAGAGAAGGTGATGAATAGAGGTGTGTTGGAGAGTTCACCGGTTCAACAGCTGATGGCGGCCGGAAACCCTAATTGGTGGAACGTAAGCGGCGGCATGAGGCCACCACCACCGTTACTGGGCCATCAGCAGGGGCCGTTGCCGCCACAAATGACTCCTAATAACAATTATCTCCGACCACGAATGATGCCGACTCTCTTGCCACACTTCTTGCCATCTCCGGCGACTTCTTCTTCGTCTTCTTCTTCACCGTCTTTGCCTAATAACCCTAATCTCTATTCTTGGCTTGAAAGCAACGATCTCCCTCCTGAGTCTTGGAGCCTTAGCCAACTTCTTTTGTAACTCTTCCTCTCTCTCTCTCCCTCTCCCTCTATATATTCATATTCGGAAATGAAAATATTCTCTATCCATACGATCTTTAGTGTTCTTAGTTCAACTTCATGGCTTTGTTTTTTCATGTGTTGTAACCTAATCTTGATATCCTCTTTTTTTTTATTGACATATGTAGGTATATACTTTAATTTATCAGTTTCCATGAAACCCAAGCTTTGCTTTGTCTGTGTGTTTCTAGTATTTTCAGTATCAAATACGTAAATATAATTAATATGGTTATTTTATTTGTGAACTAAGGGGTGGATTGATGATGGGAGAAGAAGAGAGATTGGATATGATGAACCATCATAATCATCATGATGAACAACATCATAGTTTTCAAGGTAAGATGAGATTGGAGAATTGGGAAGAACAAGTGCTAAGCCACCAACAAGCTTCCATGGGGGTTGTTGACATCAAACAAGAGAATAACATTAACAACAACAATGGCTATCTAATATCTTCTCCAAACTCACCTCCTAACAAGTCTTGTGTCACAACTACAACCACAACAAGTCTTAATAGCAACGACGATAACAACAACAACAACAACAACAATAATATGTTGGATTTCTCGAGCAATCACAATGGTCTTAATTTGTCTGAGGGTAGACATAATCCTCCGGATCGATCCTCTGAGGTAATTCTCTTTCCACATCTCTGATAATTTGTTCGAATACAGAACTTTAAAATAACTGGAAAATGCTAAATCGAGAGTTGAAGAGATAGATAGAGAGAGAGAGGAAAAAAAAAGATCTAATTAGTTTACATATAAAATAGTAAACACATCATGTACTATGAAAAAGTGAAATCTAAAAAGAACAGGACAAGCGATGTATTATTTTAAGGTCTGGATCTAAATTCAACACAACAAGAATAGGTTTTGCTATGATTTTTTTTGTTGATAAATGGCTAATTCATCTTTGCTTTGTTTGTTATCTATATATGTGATGAAGTGTAACAGCTTAGAGATTGGTGGGTCTACTAATAAGAAGCCAAGGCTTCAACCTTCTCCTTCGTCACACTCAACCCTCAAGGTACCTAATAGATTATATCAATGAAACCTCAATTAACTTATATAACGTTTTCTATATATAAATTATCTCCATGACATCATAATAACAAAACAAAAACACAAACACAAAGGAGAACAGAGAAGCAAACAAAACAGAATGGGCACAGAATAAGCTGTGTGGTTTTTGTGTTTTGTAACTATTTTGTTCTTTCTTGTTTTGTCTTCTTCTTCCCTATTCGTTATTCCTTTTTCTCTCTTTCTTTTATAAAAATTAAACTTAAATACTTATCAATATTCCTTAGAACATTTTAATATTTTAGAATTCAAGGTTTGTTTTTACTGTAAGCTTTGAAATGTAGGTATGGATTCGTATTAGAACTCGCGCGCGTTCGATATATGAAAATACAAAATTTTAAACCATTTCTACTTATTAATTATGCACGTTTTTCTCTATGCATGGTAATAAGTAAGAAAATATAACAACACATGCACATATATAAATTACTTTATACTATTAAATGTTAATAAACTTTTGGTGATAATTAAAGGTGAGAAAGGAGAAACTAGGAGGCCGGATCGCAGCGCTTCATCAGCTAGTATCTCCATTTGGCAAGGTAGAGATTAGATCATTACTAAAAAATTACATTTATTGATGCCGTCTAAATATCGCTTATCAAATCAACTTTTAAGATTAATATTGGAGATACTTTTAATTTTATTTTTGTTAATCTAAATCATTCTTCTTCCTTTTTTTCCCATCTTTTGCAGACTGACACAGCCTCTGTCCTGTCGGAAGCTATTGGATACATTAGATTCCTTCACAGTCAAATTGAGGTGTATTCGTCTTTTCCAAACTCTCAAAATTCTCATTTTCCTTTAAAGAATGATAATGCTAACGTTAACTTATAGAAACAAATGATTTGTCAGAGAAATCCAATAAATTATTGAAAAGCAAATTATTCATACATTCATCTAGATTTCCCCTTCCATTACAAAACTATATGCTTTCAAATATATATTTTTTTCTTAGAAATCTATACTCTCAATATTTTTTGGTATTAAGGGTTTCGGGCTATACATTTCCTTATTAGTGGAAATACATCTCAGTATGATACTATATTAACATTTTCTGAATATTAATATATTCATTGATCCACGAAAATTATTTCATGGATTTAGTGATGATGGTAAGAAACATACTATAAGAATAAAAAGAATGAAGATAGTATAAAGTTTTGTTCTCACCATGTTAAGTAATATTTGACTGATGTGATTATATAAAGTATTTATGATTTTTTGAAACTGTTGCAGGCTCTGAGTCATCCATACTTTGGTACGACTGCCTCGGGAAATATGAGACACCAACAACATGTAAGCATGCACCAAATGTCTGTATACATATATATGATATATGTATATATGCGCATATAGACACATCGTCATAGTTATTTATTGTAATTTTATACGTGTCTTACTTAAGTTAATACATAACTTCTGATTTCTAAATGGATCTCTCTTATCTATGGTTTTTATGAATAGTTGCAAGGAGACAGGAGTTGCTTATTTCCTGAGGACCCTGGTCAGGTACGTCCGTTTTTAAGCTTCCTATCTTTTCTTTTTTTTAATTTATAGTTTATACACTATACTTTTTATTGGATCAGTTGAATCCAAATCTAAAAATGTGAACAGCTTTAGTTTCCAAATTTTATCCCTTTTTTCTTTTTTCCACTGTTTTCTTTAAAGATAAAGTTGAATTAAATATTAAAAGGTGCAGTCGCCAGCCTTTTTTCACTATCCCTTACATTATTATAACCAACAAAGTTCGTTAAAATCAACAAAGCCACCAAATTTATTTATTCCTCTTATTTTTTCCTTCACTAAAGAGTATTTTAAATTCGTTTGGCGCGTCTTTTATTGTATGCTTCTCTCTTAAGAAAATTCAATGAAATACATCTTTTTCAGCCGATATATTATGAATCTAAACTTAAAGTACGTACATATTTTAAATGTCTTTCTGTCTCATTGTAAATTTCGATTCGTATTTTACATACATTAAAAGATTATATTGAATTATCTTGCATAAATACTAGTATCCATCTTGTAAGTAACATTATGTCGATTCATTTCTCTATTTAATACAGTATATTTAACACAAATATATAATTTAAAAACTAAAAAAATAATATAGTGAATATTTAAACGATTGTTTTTTAAATACTATGATTTAATGGTGGTATACATTATCTGGTAGAATATTATTACTTCGTTGTTATTTATGCTATAAATATATGGAATTATTTTAATTTTATTATATGGTTTAGCTCGTAAATGATCAGTGCATGAAGAGAAGAGGAGCATCGACTTCGTCTACGGACAGTCAAAAGGGAAATGAAGAATCTACGAAAGACCTGAGAAGTCGAGGTCTATGTCTTGTTCCGATCTCCTGCACACTACAAGTCGGCAGCGACAACGGCGCTGACTATTGGGCTCCGGCACTCGGCTCCGCCGGTTTCCATTAATCAATGAAATTACGCCACGTCGAACTCCAACGATAGAGAAAATGATATAACATCACGAGCAGTCAGTCTACTGAGATACCAACAAATTGAGTTTCCAAGGCTGATTGCTCATGATGCTATACAAAGTACTTCACTTGAAACTTTGCTAGAGAATTTGCGTTTGGGGTTTGATGAATATGCTTTTAGCGTTTTATCATTTGATGTGTTGTCAGATGATCAAGCATTATGTTCTTGCTTTAGGAATCTGTTTGCTTTTTTTTCACCGGTTAATTGTAATTTGTGGTAAAGTACTTATTTTTATTACTTCCACGTGGTTTGTATCGTTAATTTGCTATTATTATCTTATAATATGTTTATTGTGTGGAACTTATATAACTTAATATATAACTGAAATACATATTTATAAAGACGATTTGCCTGGAAATATATGAAGAAGCTATAAGGATTTCTTCACTCCCGTCTTAATCTTTTGAATGCATGGTTCTTAGTTCTTAATGTGGAAAGTAATAAAGATTTTTCTATTGAACAGGGAAAATAATAATGATAACCTATAATAGAAGGAAAACACTCATATAAAAGAGCGCAAAAAGTTTAAAATATGAATTTTATTCATTATTACTGATAATTATTGTACTTCACACCATCGAGCATAGAGGAGGATCACTAACAAATAAGAAGGTAGAAGACGAATATTATCACTTTATAAATTTTATTCTTCGCTTGAACGATCACTTCTTCTCTTTGGTGTGAAGATCATCGAAGAACTTCTTAGGATTGTTCTCAAAAGCATCCCTCGAGATGCGTACATCTCCGCCAGATCCAGGTGCGACCATTGTTTTACTGACATCGGAAACAACACCGGAACCACCGCTTCCGCTGCTCGCACCTGCAGAGTTCTTGGTTGCAACATCATTGGTGTTCTTGGCATCCATCTTAAGATTTTGGATTGAAAACGATTTGAAAACAAAGATTTGATTATTGTGTGAATAGGTAAGTACCATGTTGGATGAGGAATTGTGTATTTATACTGTTATATACAGTGTTTATCGTAACGACACAAAATAATGGTCAACCTGGCATGAAATACAATTACCGATGTCATTTCTGTGTTCCATGTAAAATTGGTAGCAATTTTCTCGTAAACGTGTAATTAAATTAATTTAACTACAATTATCTAGAAAGTGCTTTGACTTTGAATATTTTAAGTTAACATTCGGTTCACCGCCACATTTAATTGATAAACAAAACAAGCCCCAAGAGAAAAGAGTTATCCCCATGCTTGAAGCCCAAAAAATTATTTTGATTAACCTCTGGGCCTTTTCTGTCCAATAAACCTTTGAAAAGCAAATCTGCGCAAAACTAAATTATTAATTTACTTGAATTTAAGTTTGGGCAAAACTTTGCTCAACCATTTCGATCCCCAACAAAAAAAATATATTTCGATTTCAACTTCTCTTGTAACTTTCTTTACAGTGTATTTAGGTCACAATGTTTGTATTTGTGTAGCGGATAATAATCGTATTCACGTTGTATTTGTTGTAGTTCAGGTCCAAATTTAAGAGTTACACTATTGCTTTGTAATGTTATAGACTTATATATGCTCTTAAGCGGAGATTTTCATCTTATCTTCCACGATTAGCGGAGAATCCAACAAAGTTTGCAGTCGCATCACACGATAACATGGTGGATCCTAAACTCACTAAATCGTATAATCTGATGAATTTAGATATCTAGGTGTAGATAATTCCTATACGTTGAGTATGTCCACGTGACCACGTCGATGAAGAGTACGCTTCAAGTCAAATAATTCGTATAGTTGTGTTAGGAGTAAACAAATATGATATATCCATGGGGTATAACTTTCCTAATATTCTCCCAACATATCAAAATATGGTATTTTTGGTTCCATATGTATTCATTTGCTAATAAATGCTCTTATTTTTATGAATATCAAAGATCTTAAGTACTTAGAAATTTGATGAATGATGCATTCATCCTTAATATGTATTCTCTGTTTTTCGGTAGATCATATAATTGAGGAACATATAGTATATTGGATATTTTTAGGGGTTTTATCCATAACACCCGATCCAATAACAAGCTATTAGGTTGATCAAATAGAAAGCATATTTATGCAGAAAATGACAAATTAAAAACTCCATTACTTCTTTTCTTTATTCCAGGCCACAGAAACTAGAGAATCTTCCCACCCAATAAAAGCGGACCAATAATAAAAGAAGACAAATGTAAAGAACTCAACATTTGATTAAATACTACAATATGTCGTACAAAAAAGTATTACAATATCTTCAGTTATAAAAATATCATATCTAATACCAAAATCATAAATAGCTTATGGACTTCCATTTTAATTTCTTAGTAAATGGAGACAGGTGGCAATGATTAGCTTAGATGCCTTAACGTCTAAGCTCTAAGGTTCATGGCCCATTTCGAAAGCCGCTTTAAGAAACCCCGAAAATGAATCATTATTAGAAAAAAATAGTGATAATAACAATATAATTAGCTTAAAAGAGTACATAATTAAAACAATGAAACTGAGAAAAATAAAGCAAGAGTTTGCAAAACAAGGCTTATATGAAGACTAAATAAAAAAAGGTTTGTTTGTTTAACCTCGATTGATTAAAAGTTTATAACTTTATATACCCATATTGATAGGATAAGATAGAATGAAAGATGACATTGAATATAATATTGTTACATCAGATGATAATATTGTTGGAGTGGTTTTGTGAAGGAAACGGAAAAGGTGTGTCGTTTTCGCCAATTATTAATTTTCTAGTTGAAATCGGATGTCGTTTCGACGTACATGTGCTGTCGTTTTCGATTCAGTTTCTAGAGTAGTGGTAAAGCAAAGGCAAAATTCACATACATATTGTCTTACAAGATAAAAATAAGATTGCATAAAATATTGGTCAATTACCTTCATGTTTCATATATACAACATTTATTTATTTCTTTTAATCGAAAAATTGGAAATGACATATTATTGTGAATCGGACTATTCATATTGTAACGATATCATTATAAGAAAATCATAAAACACGTCATAATAGGAATGATATGCTATCAAAGTCGGACAATCTTCCTCATTTTTATTTTAAATAAAGTAACAGAAACATTTACATTTTTTTGATTAATGAGAGATATACAATTTATCACTATTAAAAATTATGTTTTTTTACAAACAAAACAAAATTCTGTTTTTCTGTACCTTTTTTTATGCTATACTTTTAGTTTCACAAGGAATGTTACTCATTCTAGATTGATGGCCATCGATTTAGTTAATAATCAGCATCTTCTTTTTTTTAGGATTCAACAATCAAGAGTTAAAGTAATTTTTTAGATTGAATTGCTACTTGTTCTTGAAAAGCCACGTGAATGTTTCTAACTTATACAGCAACTATAAATGTACTGTCGAAAACGCAACAAACACAATTTTGCTGGCAATGCAATTTCGGGTAGTTTCTCCGAACAAACAATCTTAACATCTACTCAAATCTGATCTCACAGCTTTGGTTCAAAAATGTTTTATCGCTTTGATGTGGATACAGTTCTATAATTATGTTCCGTTGCTCATTCTCTTTCTTTCGAGGGAATTGTTTCTTTACGATGTGAAGTTGCCCATTTTCGGGAAATATTTTGTTTTAATATAAGCCGAAACAAAATATACAGATATAGAGAGATAAGTACTCCCTCTGTTTTAAAATATATAATATTTTAAAGTTGGACACATAGATTAATGAATTTTGTAAAATACTTATTTTAACTTTTTTATTAATTAAAAAATATGTTTTTGGATTAGAAATTATCTTAATAATAGAAAGGTAAAAATATCATTTTATATCAATTTTTGTATTTAGAAAAAAGAGAACATCATATATTCTTGAATAAAAAAACAGTCTAAAACATTCTATATTTTGAAACGAAAGGAGTATAAGATATTTAGTTAAAATGGTGGATTAAAATTTTCAAAAGAAATACTACTTAATAAGTTTGAATTTTGACAATTGAAAATAGATTCATTTGTAAAAGTGTTCCGAACTTCTACAGACTAAAAAATTATATGGCCCACAAACTCTGAAATTAGGATGTTCAATCAACAAACGTTAGTAAATGATCAGGACTAAAAGACCTTTTGGTTAGAGCTTGTGGTTATTAGCATTGATTCCATATAAATGTCAATTACAATCTTTAAACTGTGAGTGGGTCCAGTTGTGAAGTAACACGTATAAGAAGCTTCCAACGACAGCAAAGTAAATGTTCATCGCCACGTACGAGAGCTAGGTCCTTTCTTTAATTTGTTGGATCGCCTTAGTAGCTACGGCAATGTCTAAATTTGCTATCAACTTTTAAGACATGACTCAACTAATATATCCTATTAATTTATAGAAAAAGCTTTGGAAGACATATACACTTAGCCACTTAGGGACAATCTAATCATAGTTATCTAACAAACAAAAAATCTAATCATAGTTAATGTTGCATTTGATTGGATATATTGGTCATGATGTTTGAAACGCAATATCATTAAAGTGTGTGATATTTTATTGAAAATTATATCAATTTCATTTTTCTCCTTTTTATATAGTTTTTAAAACTAGTGTAAATCCAAAGAAAAACATAAACTCCAGATGATTTTTCGCTTTAATATGTGGATACGTGTAAAGTACAATAAATACAAACTATAAAATTAATTAATGCAAATACTATCACAATCTTATATGCAAATGCAAGACATAATATCAAGTAAATTAAATACTACTATAATTGTATTTTGTTCTATATATGTTGAAGGTTCCGAGCATGTTGTAACTTACACTATTCATTTGATTAGTGATACCAAAATAGTCCATTTTCTGACAGATGGACTTGACTAGAATTGCGATAAGTTATCGAATATTTAAAAAGTGCCATATATATTTGTTAAGAAAATTAGAGGTAATAAGATTTAACTATAAAAAAATCTTAAGAAGACGATGATGTTTCGTTAATTCTGAACAAATATTGTAACGTTATAGTATTGTTTTGGTATAAACAAAACTTTCTAAATGGCTCGCAGTCCCGCGTAGGCCTTCCAAAAACGGCTATACTTATGAAAAGCTCACGAATGATATTTGGTTTACTTAATTCATACACTATGATTCTTATTATTATTTTATATCATTCACTTTTGAAACATTATAACCACCATAGCTACAATTCGGTTGCTTGCTCTAGAGCCAAAGCTTATTTTACATTTAATTTCGTTGTCATCATCTAACGGTTAGATATGCATGTGTTATAATCTGTGGATAACTAATCTCTTACAAAAATGAAGTAATATAAGAAATAAAGCAATTAAATCATACAAAGAAGACTTCTTTATTGGCGACTATTCCAACCTCTTAATGAGAAAGAAAAATATTTTCCCTAAAGTTGTGGTTTTACGTTATTTCTCTTTCTTTTTATTTATTTAAATCATGCAATATCCTTTTTTCTCATTTGTATTATTTTCCTTATCCTTTAAATACCCGTAGCTTCCTCCATCCAATGACAAACCAATCTTACAAGAGTGAGACAAGCAAAAGAACAAGAAACGAAATATTTTTGTATAAGTTCTTTTTTTTTTTTAAATGGAAGCTTCTGCAGCACCAAAGAGAGCCTTATACACAGAAATGGAACAGAACGCTCAAATCGCAGCCAAGAGGCTTTGGAAAATCGTGCGGATCGTCTTCTGCGTTTTGAAAACCGGTACGGTCAAAAGCAAGCTCATGCTTGACTTAAACCTAATGCTCAAGAGAGGCAACAAAGCCGTCACTAACCTCCGCCGCCGCCGATCTAGCTTCACCGGTGCTGCTGACGTGAGCTCCACACGCGTCCGTGACTACGAGTTCAGTTGCAGCAATACCCCAGCAACAGACCCTTTTGCATATATGTGCAAACGCAAACGCCGCGTCCACGGCAGTTATGACAAGGAAGACGCGGTGGCGGAGGCGGTTAAGAAGGTTTTTGAGCTGTTAGGAGAGAATGATACAAAGGCTACGACGGCGGCGGCGGCTGGAGAGTCTCCGTTGATGGCATTTCCGGCGGTGAGGCAGCTTAGAGTGACGGATTCGCCGTTTCCGTTAGACGACGGCGGAGAACATGATCATGTGGTGGATAAAGCGGCAGAGGAGTTTATAAATAAGTTTTATAAGAACCTTAAGCTACAAAAGAAGATGGCTAACGCGTTAGAGTCGCCGTACCACGACGGATGGGTTAGGTGAGGGGGGCTTGAATCACATATGAGAAACAATAAAGGGGATATTGATCAGAGTCGTTTTCTTGAATATCCTTGGACATGTTTGTATACTTGAATTCGACCTATGTTTATCTTTTAGTTTGATGTAAACATGGCTATGTATATATACATATTCCCTACCTTAGTGAAAAGAATATTACTATATAGGTGAGTTTATCATATCTATAAGTAGCGTCCGATTTAATTTAGAATATTTGATAATTTTGTTTAAAATTATCTCTGATAAATTATAATATGTATTCATTTATAATAATATCATATAAATTTATATTCGACCAACTTAGTAATTTGTTCTAGTATGACCATTGTACCGTCACTTGGATCCAAACTCACATAATTTGCATGTTATTAATCCAGAAAATAAATTAAAACCCAAAAAGAAGTAAGTTTCATCAACTTAATTAATGACAATCTTTGGCTATGACCACTAGACGTCTCCTAGTGTTATTTTATAAAATGTTCTTTACCATTTTTATGCAGAATATTGAAAATGTATTTGTAAATTAATTTAACGTAGTCAGTATTTTTGTCCATCCAAAAACAAAAAGAGATTTATCGTTACAAAGAAATTTGATATGCTTAGCAGACACAAAACAGACAATATTTCACAAACTGCGAGAAACAAAGGAATAAAGTATAATAAGAGACGATGTCGCTCTCATTGTCATTGGTTCATCGACAATGTAAAGATATTAGAGTAATTCATAACGTTTCGTAAAATTTTAATTTAGTTCATATATATGCATATACAGATCAAACATACACATGTATTTCTATACCAGATCAAATTTTAACGAAAGAATGCATATATCTGTTATATGCTATGGCCGTTTTATGCATATATCTAGAAAGAAAAACAATTAAAACATCAGAATGCTCATTTCGCAGAAATTCTAATAAAATAGAAGTCCCACATTCCAACTGTAATACTGGGTCCCAGATCTTATTTTGGGCCAGTTTATAATATTATGAGTTTCTTTTATCAAGAACAAGTTTTTGCAACACTTGGGCTTGATTGACAGGTTTCATTGTCAGCCCATTCACTCGTTTAAAAAACTGGCTTCTAAAGTAAGGTTGATAGGCCCATTATTAGAGTAATCTTACGGCTCAATTTGCTATGTAAAAGGCCGTCAGAAATGTTTATAAGGTTTATACATAAATACATCTTGAAATTGGAAAAAAAGGATTACATAAAGTCGGCAAAAATCAAAATCTATCCAAAAACAAAGTTGCCAAATTTAAAGAATTATGGGAACCAAACATGTAATAAACGGAAAAACTTCCTGACTATCCGAAATATAATCTCGAATTTTCCAAACAAAAGAAAGAAATTCGAGAACAGAATGAAAAAGGTTCCGAGTATTTTCCAAGATCAAAAACTGATTTAGACCTATTTGAAAAAAAAAAACAGTCTGTCGAACGAAAGTAGTTATTCTACTTTTCATTAATTTTTGAAGATTCTAAAAATTAGAAAACTTGAAAATTCGTTGATGTTTTAGAAATCTTTAAATTTCACATTTTTATAATTTTGCTTTGAACGGAAATAGAAAACACTATCGAAATTCCTTATTGACAAACATTGAAAAAAATGTAATAAACTATAATATTGTATTGTTTGAAATACGAGAGCTAAGAATTTCAGCATCATTAGATTCTCCATTATCTCGTGATCAAAAATCTAACCAATTTTATATATTACGGAGTTATATAATATAAATTCCCTACAAGTTACAAGTCAACTTTCAATTATAAAATATTTATGAAAATTGCATTATTATTAATAGTATTTGTCAGATCTCAAGGAAGATAGCTGATCATTATTTTCAATGCATCAGTGGTCCCAATTCAATTGACTAATGTTGTTTTGTTTTGATTAACCTTTGATTAAGTAAGATCGTTCAATAAATTTAGATACTCTAGATATCATATAATTTTATTATATCAATATACAATTTAAAAGCATGTATCATTACATGAGAGAAAAGAAAAAAAAATTTGTTACTCCCACACATCTGCTATTGACCGAAATATATAGGTGGGCAGGAGAAATAATAGCAGCGCATTTCTTTCATTACTACCGTAGTGTTCGATATTTTACGACATCATAGAAATGCATTTTTTTTTTTTGGAACATTTGCTTCATAGATATGCATTTTCTGACAGTGCCAAATGATAAGAATATGGGGGGAACAAGTCCAAAGAACCAAACTGAACTTTAATAACAAAAAGTTACTGAATTTTTAATTCAATTTTGTTCGTTTTAAACCAAAATTTTGAACACTTTTGTTCTGTTAAAGGGTTTTAACCAAAGTTTGGAACACAGTTAATATTGATTTGATCTGATAAAAAATATTAAATTTATTGAAAAGTCACTACTATTGTTTTAGTATTCGTTCCGATTAATCAATTCCAGTTCCAGAGCTAATCATATGATCATGTCGATTTGGATCACATCACAACACTATAAATTTTCAAATCTGTAAAATTCTGGATGAAACCGGAACAACATGAAAATCCGGAATGTACTAAGTTGTGGATTGTGGAGCGACTAAATTTGCAGATGTGTGTTGATACATAATACATAAAGGCTGGCTAGACGATACAAAATTTGTTATCTCATCAGTTTAAGGTTGATTTTAATAATAATATAGTGTTTTAATTTCGTTATTTATATGATATACTATGTGCATACATTATAATTTATAGCTAATATATATACGTAAAAGCATCGAGCATTAATTTTCGAACAACGATTAGAGGAGACTAAAATATATCGACCCCTCCAAATCTTATCCAAATCTTATTTTCATCATTAACAATTATTGAATCTTTTGTAATGTTTGATTTAGTTAATTACATTATTATTATTTTCGTCGTTATAGGTCTAAGAAAACCCCAAATTTCTTAGTTAAAAAAGAAGAGAAAAGACCTAAAAAATGTGGTTTCAACATAAAAAAAAATGTACAGAAAACTTGTTCTTATATTTGATGTGATGTGATTCATGAAATCTAAAATTTAACGCAGCAACCTTTTAATCTGATTATTACTCTGATGGAAAATAACAATGGAAATCTGACTAGCGTTCCAAAGTAGATTCCAATTCGCGTTTAACAAGACTAAAGCATGCTGATTTAAAAGAGAATTGAGTAATACACATTATTATTTTTTCAACATGCTATATTATCATTCACCACACAGGTTAGCAATATTGCGTAAAAAAAGTGTTTATTCTATACTGTATATAATATTTCCGAACTACGAAATATAATATCATAAATTAAAAGAAGAATAAACCAAGATGGTTTACATGTTTTCCCAACTGAAGACCGAAGAGGCACCACGTACGATTCCCACTAAAGCACCGTCAAAAAGAAAGAAAAAGAGAGAAAATATTAAGCTTTAATTTGTTTAGAATTTTGATTGCAAAAGAACAAGACGAATTCCATTGCCAGGTAGGTAGGACCGGATATATTGTTACTGAATCATCGCTCCACGTTGATAAATAGGTTTATTCGTATAATTGAATTAATGAATCAAACTTTATGGCTTAAACTCAATGCTGATTCATATTTGAGAAATTTGAAAATACCAAAAAGACGCACCATTATGAATAACTTTGATTTTACATTTTGTTGATTGTCTGTTTCAAAATATTGGATGTATATTTGGGTTCCGTAATCAGAAGGTAATTGTTTAAAATTAAATTTTAAACTCAATCTTATAAATTTAAATTCAGTATTGTTCGTTTTAGAATGTATATGAATTTCATGACACGACAATTATCTTTAAAAAAAAATTCCTGAGTCTCAACAAAATATTTGTGAAAGTTAATAGTAAATATTTTGAAACATTTTATATAAAAATCAAAACCGTTTTTATAGCTTCAACAAAACATAGTTACCATAAAAAAATAAACCATATATCAAAGAATTTGACTGGTATATTAACTAAATAACAGAATATCAAAATATTTAAATAATAAAATAGCAGAATTAATTGAATGATAAATTTTAAAATTGAATAGATTTAAACTATTGAAAGCTATTATTAGATTAATAAAACAATGTAATATAAAAATTAAAAAGTTGTTTTCTCATTTATATTAAGTGTTTTAAATTTATAACTAGTTTATTTTTTTATATTTGTTATTATAATAATATGTAAATTAAAATTTAATAAATGAAAAAACTACATATTATTCAAATTTAAATATTCAAAATATTTAATTTAAAAATCGAAGATATTCAAAAATAAACTTACCAATTTTATATATGGGTTATTTTTTTTTATCTATATATCATGGTAGAAATTTTAAATTAAAATTATGTTAATAAATTCAGATTACTAAACAGAGTAAGTCTTATATATATATTTTTTATAAACTTATTTATATAGATATTTAGAGTACTTTTTCAACTAAAATATGTTAGTCTTTTTGTAAAGTAGAAAATAAAAAAAGTAAATAAAAAAATTAACTAAACGAGTAGAAAACAAATTTGATTTTTTTAGTGATTTTATATTTTCCTTTTCATAACTTTGTTAGTGATTTAATATTCCCTTTTTTGAACATTTATATATTTCCCCTTTTTCATACTAGTAACTTGAACTTTTCTTTAAATCCTTGCTAGTAATTAAATTTTAAAATGAATAAATATAAATAAATCCTATTAAGTTGATGATACACTGCAAAATGAATTGCGGGCTAAAATTAAAAGTGAATGCTAATTCAAATATTATTGAAAAGGGTAAGGAGTTATTCCGGAAAGAATCTCCGGTAGCCGGTACTTTTTCTTGAGCCGTCAAAATTAAACACGTGTATAAAGTAGCCTCACGTGTCATATAGTCAACGGTAAGTAGCTTAAATAAACAGCACAGCTAGTAGTATCTAATTAGGACCATGTGCGGTCCTCATGCAAAGTTAATTAATTAGTATTATAGTACTATTTAAGAATTAATGTTTGCGAA